CTATTCTTATCTATTTCTTTTTTTTAAATCAAAAGTAATATATTTTTCTTGAATGTCTTGAAACATCGTAATGTGTCTGTCCAGGGTCCAGAGGGGAAACCTGGATTACCAGGACAGTCTCCGGTATGCATGTGCATAATTCGAAATTGCACTTACTGTGGTTCTGTTTTTTGTTTTTTTTTTAATTACAAAGATGTGTTTAATGTATCTGTTTGCCTTGCAGGGTGATTCTGGAAGAGATGGATTAGATGGCTTACCAGGAAAACCAGGAATGAAGGTTATAAAAATGCACAGTATTAAATTGTTTTATTGAAATTGCACATTCAAATATTTTGAAAATTTCCATGTAAATGCCATCACGTGCACTATATTGACAAAAAGTATTGGGCCACAGATCTTCATCTCTGAAATGAGATCTTTTCATTCCCACTGCCACCAAGCCATGCCACATGCCTTTACAAAACTCTGTGTTTTCCTGTAGCAGGGTCTCATTATTGCTGCAGGGCAATTTTGGAAATTTCTTTAAATAGTATCATTGCAAACATCACGTAGACCATGTAAAGTTACAGAGCAGGGGTCATGGAGTGCCAAGGTGCATAGTGCCTAAAGGTCACCAATACTTAGCTGACTCAATAACTACTAAACTGCAAACCTCCTGTGGCATGAACAGCACAAAAACTGTGCGCCAGGAGCTTCATGGCATGAGTTTCCATGGCGGAGCAGCATTTGTAGGCGTAATGTGTAAGTGGCCCAGTATATTTGTACATATAGGGTATGCATGTAAGAGTTTGCTCACAAGGTGTCTTATGGTAACCGTAGGGTGACCAGGGACAGAAAGGAGAGCCTGGTCCGGTGAGTGGATGAATTTTTATGGAACTTAAATTCTTGTCATTACCGTATATGGTTTACTGCCCTATTAATATTAGCATAAAAAAAGTTATCACTGAGTTACAGTGTATTATCTCACTTAACAAAAAAGAACAATGAAAAGAAAAGCTAAGATGCAGTCATGATTTTCAGTCTTTATGTTCCGTATATCAACTTTATGTGTGCTTATAGACACCTAAGCTTTTAGCATGTCAGCAGCTATTTTGCATTGCTGTGGTGTGTTTTACTGCCTCAGTGATAATTTGTCCAGTTTGTAATAACATTTGTCATTTTAATTTGCTGATATTTGCAAAAGGAGACTTTTTTTTTTCTATGCTTGTAAACAGAAAGGAGATCAAGGCCGGGTTGGGATTGCTGGGATGCCTGGCTTACCGGGGACCCCTGTGAGTTTCACTCCAGCAAAACCATTATCATCCATTTTTTATACACTTTTAATGGTGACAGTCTTTAGTCATTCAAGGCAATATAACAAAATATATCCTTGCGTCAGGTGTGTAATTAGCAGGAGCTACATGTTTATCCACGATAATGATCAATCTCCTTTTTCATTTCCTCTTCTCTACAGGGGAGACCTGGCATTGATGGGAAGAGGGGCCTGCCAGGAAAAGATGTGAGAAACATTTGACAATTATACCACTTTGCTATTAGATATCACCTGGATTACTGTTTTATCCAATTTGCACATTTGTTTGCCGTTTTCTAGCTCTTTTTAGATTAAATTACTTTTTTTTTCACAGGGAGAAAGAGGACTCAAAGGAGATGACGGCAAGAAGGTTCTTAGATTTGCTGCAGCAATCAAAACATTTATGAAGCTTTTATTCTCCATTTACTTGTGTTAACTTCACTCTTCATTTCAGGGGGACAAGGGAGATGCGGGTGCTGATGTAAGTGTATTCACATTTATGAAGGAAAACACAACTTAGTGATGAAGTTGAGGCTGTAACTGGATGATGCTGTTTGTTTCTTGCAGGGTAAAGATGGTAGTAAGGGTGAACCAGGGCTTCCAGGTTTGCCTGGGAGGCAGGTGCTTGTCACTCCTGAGGTAAACATGATGCAAAATGACTTCATTTTTGGTGACTTGTTTATGACTACACCTGTAATCACCATTGGTTTGACTAATTCCTCATTTATGCTGGGTTCAGCATAAACCATTTATGCTGGGTTCAGAAAAACCTCACACAGTTTGACTTACTATCCATTTATCCCTTCTCAGGGTGCTACCATTGATGAAATCCGACAAGCATTCCCAATGCCAATGGGTCCTCCAGGACCTACTGTGAGTTTGATGCGTGTGCACATGTTTCTGCATATGTTTAGCTTTCTAAAAAATGGCACATCATCTCTGCTGTTGCATGGCATAATTCACTTGTCGCCTGCATGAAATCTAAGTCATCATGCAGTGATGACTACAGTGCTTATTTTTATTGTGGGCTACAATGAGAACAGATATGGTGAGCTTGATGTCATGCATTGTAGATGCATGTTCAAATGTCCTGCTCCTCTGTTTCTGTGTGTTTAGGGTTCTCCAGGATTGAAGGTAAGGTGGTAATGGTGCTTATATTGAGGCTGAGTTCTTAAAAAAACCCTGAAATATAGCCTTGGTTGCTGATTTGTCTTGTTTTGCAGGGCGATAAAGGAGAAAGAGGCCTGAAAGGAGAAAAGGTAATGCTCGTTTGAGTTATACATCAGAAACATGGGAATGGAAATTACATTATGCCGACTGCATTTATTTTCATGTTTCTGCAGGGTGACGCTGGAGCTCCAGGACAATCTCTTGAGATGAAGGTTGAATAAAGGATATAATAATTTCTTCTGTGGCATACATGTTCTCATTTTACATTATTAAGTATCTGAACAACATATTTTCACTCGACTTTAGGACATTGAGACAATGTTTGAAGCCTACGGTATAAAAGTGAGCTCTTTGCACCACATTGTACAAATATGCAATAGTGTAATAAAAGTAGAGTTCAGTTGTCTAAATAAAAGCTTTTTTCAGCTTCCTTTGCTGAAGGCTTTGATTGACAGGTTGCTGCAGGATGGCATAGAGGAGCTGCTTCATGTGCTCAGCAACTCCAAGAAAACAAAAGAAAACACAGAAAGGCACAACTCCAACGTCATCACTGACTACACAGTACGTAGACTCAAAGAAGTGTCTGATGTTATTTTTAGACTGTATACTGTATGTTTACATTTCTTGTTTCCGATACCTCAAACCTTTCAAAACGACTACTACTGCTGTGCATTTTATATTTTCTCGATAGAGTTTGGAGAAATTTGACGTCACCAGCAGACCTCTGTCAAAAGTGGACACTTTTGAGGACATTGATGTAGATGGCCAGCCTCCTGAATCTATCTTGGTTGTACGTAACCTCAGCCTAGTCTTAAGAGAATGCTTAGGAACAATAATGAACCTATTAACCTACCACATATTTTAGTGGGTACACCTGTTCGACTTCTCGTTAACGCAAATATCTAATCAGCCAATCGTATGGCAACAAAACACTGCATGTTCAAGATGATCTACTGAATTCAACATGAGCTTGATTTTGAATGCGTTATGGCTGTTGATGCCAGACGAGCTGGTCTGAGTATTTCAGAAACTGATAATCTGCTGGGAATTTCCTACACAACCATCGACTTACAGAGAAGGGTCAAAAAAAAAAAAGGAAAATATCTAGCGAGCAGCACGTCTGTGAATGAAAAATGGCTTGTCGATGCCAGAGATCCAAGGAGAATGGTCACGCTTTGAGTTGATAGGAAGGCAACAGTAACTCAAATAACCACTTGTTTCAACCAAAGTATGCAGACTAGCATCTCTGAATGCACATCGAAACAGGTACCACTCCTGTCAGCTAAGTATCGGAAACTGTAGGCTACAATTCTCATGGACTCACCACAATTGGAGAAGTGGAGGTTTGAAAAACACTGCCTGAGTCTTTCCTGTGATGTTTCTACTTTGACATTCGGATGATAGGGTCAAAATTTGATGTAAACTGCGTAAAAGCATGGATCCATCCTGTGTCTTCAGGTTGGTGGAGGTGTAATGGTGTGGGGAATATCTTGTAGGCACACTTTAAGGCCCTTAGTACCAACTTAGCATTGTTTAAATGCACAGCCTACCTCAACATTGCTACTGACCCTTTATGACTAAAATGTACCCATCTTCTGATGGCTGATTCAAGAAAGATAGCACATCATGCAACAAAGCTCAAATCATCTCACTGTAGCCTACAATATGTGTTGTTATCATGTCAGTGTGGCGAGTCCATGCTTCATCAAACAATGTACAGCTCATGTTCTGAATACTTATTGTTCTATTAACAGTCCTTGATATTTATTGTTTAAGGTTCTGTGTAATCTTGAGTTTTTCAGCCATCTCATACTTTGTGCATTTGCATTTTATTTGAGCTTGTATGGCTTTAAATGTTTTCACCATGATCCTGGAGAAATGAAACTGTGTTTAATATAGTTTATCACCAGTTGTCACTAATATGTTTTTTTTTTTTACTTCTCTCACTGAAGGACCCTTTAAATGAAACTGCAGAGGATCAAACTTTATGGACCGTCAACACGCTGAATGGAGAACCAGAGCATGACACAATTGAGACCAATTTAAAGGAGACAGTAGACAGTACTGAAACTTCCTTCAAAGTTAATCTGACTGCAGTCAATTCTACTTCCAATTATACAATGACCAATGAGGTAAGGATGTCACATTTCATATTTAGGCACTTTTAGATGGAAGAAAGACCCTTTATTTAAAGAAATAAAATGCAAATAAGCTTCATAATAATTCCTAAAAAAGTCATAAAAGTAATTAATATATATCTAACATTCACATAATATTTCATAAAATGCTTTGTAAACTCTAATGATGTACATGTCATACTTTAAAAATCTAAACAATCCTACATTACAAAATATTGGTGTTATTTATATTCAGATTGCATTTAAAGTTAAGATTTGTCTGTCAGATGTTTTCAGGATTACCTCAATCTGTAATGGAGACTGTTCTCCTCAATCAGGAGGACTCACTGAAGAAGAATTCAGGACAAAAGAAGAAGAACAGGGAACGTGGGAAAGTAAAGCTACCATAACTGTCTTATTGAGGGTTGGGTTTTAGATAGAAGATGGAAAATGGGATACTTCTCCATCAGTTTACAATGAATGCATATTACCAAAGGACCATACAGGTGTTTGATGTTTTAGCTTATCTCTTCTACTTAGCATACACATCAGCTTTTTCTAAATGGATGCTTCTGTTTTGATGTTTATGCTAATTTTAAGTGATTTGGACTCTCAGTTGTGATATTACTGCACAGTAATGTAGATTTGGGAAAGTGCACTTGTAGCACCAGTGAAACAGGAAATCTAAATATGGAAAATTCTTTAACGTTTACATTTTAGTGAGAATGATGTGAGTTGTATTCTTTAATTTTAAGGGCTTCACTAAGTTATGGTAACAAAGTTAAAGGCATGAAAGAAGTTAATGTGAGTCACGTCTAAGGTGCCACAAAAATACCTGAAAGCTGATATTTGTGTCTCTGTTATCAACTGATAATGTGTTCTTTAAATATGCATTGATTATAGTTTGAAGAATCCCTTAAAATATATTTGTCACTAGTGGTTAGTATACACTGCCCAGCCAAAATAAAGTTGCAAAGTCTAATATTTTGTTGGATCCACGATTATCTTTGATGACAGCATTGCCAAGATATTGTTTTGATAAGCTTATGCAGCGTTATGTATTGTCGTTCAGCGTTGCATTTATTTTTCTCTAAGATCTTGGATTCAGTCTTCCCAAGCACATCCCAGAAATTCTCAGTGGGGTTAAGTTCTTGACTCTGTGGTGGTCAGTTCATGTGTAAAATAATGTCTCATGTGCCCTGAGCTGCTCTTTAACAATCTGAGCCCGATGATTCCTGACACTGATATCTTAGAACAGCGGTTCCCAATCGTTTTTGTACCATCGACCAGTTTAACGCTGGACAATTTTTCTGTGGACTGTGAGACTTCATTAGCTAGCCAGTCACTGTATATTATACCAAGCAAATGTGGAGGGTGTGAATCTCGCAATGAACCTCTTAATTTAAGTATGATTCTTAATAGTCTCTTTCTTTCTTTTGTTTGGCATTCTGAGATCCCTCTAGTGACTCATCTTTGGCTCTTTCTTCCTGTTCAAAGAGGTTCTCCAGTGACATTTGTTTTTGGGTCACTGGGTTTTCAGACTTTGTGATGCATGGAAAAAGAGTTAAGTGCAAGAGTAAGGTTTGGCTGAAAGTGTCATTTTTTGGAAAAATAAAATACCCGAAACTCTATCCATCCATCCATTCATTCTCTGCCGCTTATAACTTTCAGGGTCACGAAGGGGGGGAGGAAGCCAGAGTACTGGAGAGAACAAATTTATTCTTTCTTTGGAGCCCAGTGCAAAATAGTCCTCGGCCTGGTGATCTGGACCTCCGTTTTAGAATATCCCTGGGATACGTTCATTCTTTCGGCACACAATGGTGGTCAACCACAACCATGATCTGACCAAGTGAAGCAACCCAAGGTCAAAAGGAAATGTTCTTACTTTGACTATGATTTGATTTCACCAATCGATCTCCAATTCTCTCACTGATCGCATTACGTCCTCGAAGATGATGGCACACCACTATCCTTTAATAATGTGTTAGTTAAGTTATTTTTAAAAGTTTCACCAGTCTCCTTAGTTGTTTTCTTTCTCAACGCAGGTCTTTTCCCCAACTATGGGAAATCATCATGTCTTCTGCTTTGACAAGCATCAGTTAGGGTTAAATAAACTCTTGCCATTCATCATATGAGCCTTAGTTTAATCCATGTTTTGCGGGGGAGGCAGTGTATATGTGTCTATATATATTTAAATCACATGCGTAGTGTATCATATTTTAAAATGCCAGATCTAGCAAATATGATTCAAATTAAAACTCATATTTGCAAATTACTGTTTCATTAAATTTTATAAAAAATTGTCACAAGGTTAAAAAACACAAATTTTGAATTTTCTAGTAATTATCTCATGGTTCAGTGTTTAAAGGGATATACACATAAATCAGATGGGCTGAAACATGTAAAACATCAGGTATGGTCCTATAAATACAATAAACAGCTCTAAACTGTTTGGTAAAACTAGACTTAATGGTTTTTAATCATCCTAATTTAATGGGATTTTTATTCATTTTTGATAAACATTAATTACTCATTTCCTGAAATATGGGAACCTTCATCTTTTCTCTCTCTGATTGTGAACTTCTTAACCAGGGCAAAGGAAATAAAGGACGACATAGGAGGCAGAGACAACGCTTGGTAAATGTCCTTGAACAACAGATCAGAATGAACCCGGAAACCTTACTTCAGTTCAGCCCCAACTAAATTAAAATGCACCAACTAACATGGCTGTCTGACCTTGCAAAATACAAACATAACTTTATAAAAAAAAGATTTAATGAAACATAAACCTAAATTAAAACATTGTGAAATATAAACACACTGAATGAACCACGTTTTGCACCCACAATATGCCTCATTTAACTAAAAGCATGCATTGATCCTAATGTCCATCTGCTTCTCACTGTAATATTAACAGATTACATTTGCTTGCTCGTTGATGTCTTCCAGTTATCCCAGTTATTCACACGTGACAAGTACTGCTGTGCAACAATTCCTTCCTGTAATAATTGCTATTTCCTTTTTATCCTAAGACAAGTGAAGAGGCCGGGCAAGACGAAGAAGACGAGTTTTATAACGGCGAGGATTACAGTTATGAATACGAGGTAGGCAGCAGCAATAATAAATCAGTAATTGATGCACCGTTGGAAGCTTAATTTTAATGTGATGTTGATGACGTGGGGTTGTTCCTCATTTAGAGAATTGTGAGCGCCTTCTTGTTAACAGCCCTGCCAAACTCATCATCCAGTCACCTGCGTTTTTTTTTTTCTTTTTTCTTTGTAGCAGTATCTCTGGAGACTGAATTATATCTGCGCCCACATAAATGCTGCAGAGATCTGATTAATGACATACCCACTACCTAATCTTAATTATTAAGAATAAATTAGTTTGTCATTACAGCCCACTTCATCCGCTCTCCACATCATCTACCGTGGGCTTGAGTGTTTAAAAGTTATGACGAGATTTTTTTAATTTATTTTTTTCAAATAGGAAGAACTTACCACAATTGACCCCTTAATCCCTCGGGACTTCGGGGAAAACAGACAGGTAAATATTCTCTCATCTGTTTCAGCTGGACTGGGTACAAATGTTATGATTCATTTTTAATGTGACATGTGTTCAATTTCTTTAACATGCGCAGCTTGAAGTCCAAACAGATGAATTTCCTCATCCAGTGGATGATAAGGTGATCATTTGTAGCACAATAGCTAACTAAAAGTAATAAACATTTCTGTTTTACCTGAACAATAACACATTTGTGTTGCTTTCGATTTGTAAGGAACAATTGCTCACACCCAGTCCTGCCCAGGTCGAGACCTTAAGTCAACCTATAACAGTCTTCTCAGACAGAGAAACGGATGCACAGGTGAAACAAATGTTGTGCTATCTTCGGTATTTATCTTTTGATTATTTTTATTCATTCAAGCACAAAACTAAGAAAAACAAGCCAGGGACCTCTGCCAGGTTCCACTAAGAATGAAATTACAGAGGGAAGCTTTTTAATTGTACAGACACAGTTCTTTATTATAAAGCAGAAAGAGAAGAAATCACCCACTGACTGCCAGCATACAGTCAGTGCATAGCTACCTGCTGTGCTTCATCCTGCACATTCTTCACCATTTCTCCAGCTTTGCACCTACTATATGGGAGAAAGAAGGATCAGCAGACTAGGTGTTCTTCTCCACCTTGTTGGTGTTGCTACCCTCAACCATCCTGCCCCACCTCTCCCTACTACAACTGATCCAACATACCAAACCTTCCCACCACACTGTCATTATCCACTGATGTCGTATGATAATGAAAAAAGCCTAAAAAAGATAACTGGTGCTCACATGATATAAGAATGCCCTGGACAAACAATAAACCCAGGTAGTTCAGTCAGTATAGGCAAAAGAGCCTGAGCCGCATGTTGCATGGACATTTTAGGGTTGACTGAGGCTCTTCTGATAAAAGGGCTTGTGTTCAGCTCCTCTGCAGTTTGCATATTAAAGTGTTATTATATTCTGAGTGTACTCTGGATGTGTGATAGTGTGAAAAAAGTCCCAATTTTTAGCATTACGTTTAACAGTAGCTATCCAATCTTCTTTCAATAAACAGAAACTGACATCACAGAGCAACTTTCAATACTTTTACCTATAATAATACAAAACATTGAAACCTGCTAGCTTCATATTTTAATGGCAGATTAGTGCAAACATTCAGAGTAATGACAAAAAAAGTCACTTTTTTAAAGAATGTTGTAAAAGTTACCAATATGCTGGGGGTTTTTTTACATTCAGACTTGTGTACTTATTTGTCCTCCCTAGGTTATCTTGCCAACCACAGAGTCACCCTCTCGACCCTCTGATGATATAGAGAAGGTATTCCCGGGCAGCTCGGTGCTCATGAGAAATAGGGCATTGTTTACTTTTTCTTTCTTTGTATTTTGCTTGACTTTCCAAGTGACATTTTAACTTTAAAATTCTGATGTGTCTTTTCAGTCTACACCTCCTTCGGCAACAGAAGAACCAGATCAGGTGGAGTTTTCATTTTAAGTACTACAGGCTTCCGTCTTAAAGATCTTTGCATGCCTTGGAATGCAAAACTTTATTTGCACTTATGCACAAGAGTCCTGAAATTGATCTGCAAGTGCTTGAATAAAACAACGAATGGGCTTAACTGCAGTTGTCAATAAATAAACAGCACTTAAGCAGCACTTTCATCATTTTCAAGACCCCTTTCTTTCTTCTGCTTTTGATGAAAATTTCACCAGTGCAAAATAATGCAAGTGTTTGTTTAAGGCTGATGTGAATACATGACCAAACATGACCAAAGCATGAGCGGCATGCTTTTAGCATGATTTCTCTAAAGCTTGTCTGAATGCAAATGAGCAGAAAATGTAGTCTAGTCCAGCTGTTCATGAATGATTTACTGAGAAAAAAAATCCAGAGAGTTACTTTTAATACTTTCTCTCTCTCGTTTTTTTAAACAGGAAATCTCTTAATTCCCGAGAGACTGAGACTATAGAGTCTTAATCATTCATAAGAAAGCACTACACGGAGAGTGCAAATAAACTGTGAACCGTTTTCTCTGGTGATGAACCCTGAACAACGTCGTTTCATGAGAGGGGACTTCTTTCCGCACAGAGACAATGTCATTCACCAAAAAATACCGTATACCATACCAGAGTGTTTTTCTCTTGTTGTGGCTTATAGAAAATTAGGCACCTGAAAACTGTCCTCATATATAGGTTGTATTTTTTTAAGCTTGGTCAGTGTAAAAACCAGTGTAGCTTTACTTACCCTGCCAGAAACTCCTAATTTATTTATGACAAGTATTTTTCAGTAAATAAAATAGAAGTAAGTTTTCTTAAACATGACAACAATTTGCATACATACTTCAGGAAATACAGACATTTTATTTATTAAAACATGGAAATACTAAGGGTTTCTTACTTTACCATACCCTGTGAATACCATAGATAATATTTAGAATCTAGTTTGACTATAAACACATATGTAGCCAGATCAAACACTTGTTACGCTGGTGAAATTTATCTTTATAATTATATTGTCTGTGTTTGTTTGTGTTTAACCTCTCTGTGCATGTGTGCTTAAGTAAAAGTGACTTTCTAAACAACTCTGTGTCTTCCTCCTTTTTTCTCATCGTACAGTACTCC